AAAGCCCTTTTTTCTGTAGTCAGGGACTGTGGGTTTTGACTAACTAGTTCCCATCTCTGACTTCCTACAGTATATGTTGTGTACCTTTGAATGATGGTGCAGCAGACAAAGCGTTGGTGCCCTCAGAGAGAGACCATTCAGATGCCCACCTGGCCACCCCTCTTGGGAACTTAGGTGCAACTTAGCCTAGAAGGGTTTGAGGCCTCTGTTATGTCATATGTTGATCGCCGTGGAACTGCAGGTGAGGCCCAGTCAGCCACCACAACCAGTGCTTCCCAGTCTTGGTGCACAGATGGAGCAGCCTGTTGCTTACGCTGTCAGGTTCACTCACACACACATCCATTCAGCAGGCACTCAGAGGTTAAACATTCCAAACCCCTTCCCTTGAGGGTGGTTCTGACTAACAGGAGTTTATCAGACTCCTTCTTCTGCTTGAGCTGAGCAGGACTGACAGACTAACTGGGGTGCCCATGGGGGTCATACTGGAGTCAGGTAGGCAGACAGACACAGATTGTCCTCCTCTCTTTGGGGTCCGATGTGAGCCACTGAAGTGGGAAGCCTGGAGGAATCCTCTCTTTGGGGTCCGATGTGAGCCACTGAAGTGGGAAGCCTGGAGGAATCCTCCTCCAGTACTCCAAGGGGGCTAGAGAAATCTCCAGAGTGCACTTCCCATCAGGACCTGGAGAGGTCCTCGCTCCGCCTCAAGGCTCACGACCAGTGACCAAAGAGGTCAGCACGGTTGGTCTTTCCAGCCAACACACCAGATGCAGCAGCAAACAGATACACCCAAACAACACCAAGGATTTGGAGGCAGATTTATTTATGTTGATGGGCACTGATCTGGATCATCCCCAGAATATCAGGCCCTGATCTCTGGTGTTTTAGGGCTTATATGGGAAAAGCAAGCAGGAAGTACAGAGGCAGAAGGGCTTATCAATTAGGGATTGATTTATATGGTGTGCGTCATAGTGACCAGCAGCTACATATCACAGTGACCATCTGTTTCTAAGAGACTGGAAGCAATCAGAAGTAGAACAGCAACTGTTACCTGGGCAACTAAGAAACTGAAGTATACTGGGGGAGGGCATTTTCTGTTACACCATCACACCCAGTTATAAATGTTTTAAGCTTATAATTATTAGCTGGTTTATTACAGTTGTGTTCTTTTTAAAGAAGGGTTGGGCATATAGCTCAGTGGCACAGGCACCTGCCTGGCAAGTACAAGGTTCTGAGTTTGATTCCCGGTACCAAAAAAAGAGAAAGAAAGAAGAAAAATATAATAATTTAAAGAAAACCTGTTTTTTCTGTTGTTGTTGGTTTTTTTTTTTGTTTGTTTGTTTGTTTGTTTTTTAGATAGGGTCTTGCTGTATAATTCAGGCTGGCTTTGAACTCACTGTAGCCCAGATTGGCCTTGAATTTGCAATGGTCCTCCTTCTTCAGCCTCCCAAGGGCTGGGATTATAGCTGTGCACCACCGCCATGCCTGGGAAAAACCTTTTAATATGTTGTAAACAGATATCCTGTATTTAACTCAAGAAAATTTTCAAGTTTCTCTCCCCTTAATAGATTCTAATTCAGAAATGTCGAATGAAGAACTAAGGCAACATCTTCAAGAAACCTTAGAGGTATGTGCTCTGGCTAATGTACAAATTCTGAGGTGAATAAAGTCTGCTGGTGGATACTTTAAGTCATACCAAAAGTGGATGGACATCCAATGCTGTCTTTCCAGATATTCTCCTTTTTTTTGTTAGGTGCTGGGGACAAGCCTGGGGCATCAGGCTTGGGTTCCTCTGCTAAACCGTCCCTCACCCTGTCTTTTCAACTCTCCTGTTTCTCATGCACCCCATCTTTTGAAAGGCCGCTATGTCATCGTGTCCTGCTTCCTGTTGCCATATTCCCCTTCAACGCCTCCTGCTTCGCTGCTGGCCTCCTAGTTAGTGTTTTCTCTCAGCCCCTTGCCATGTCAGCCTGCATTTTTTCCCAGACATCAAGAGTTGCGGCTCAGGTGGTTTGAGGCCTGATGCCTGAGGGCTCTGTGGCTCCCTCCTTTGGGAAACAGGAAGCCCAGCTTGGTGTGCGTTTGTGACTCTTCTTTTTTTTTTTTTTGGTTTTTCTCCGGTACCGGGAACCAAACTCACGACCTTGCCCTTGCCAGGCAGGCGCTTTGCCGCTGAGCTAAATCCCCAGCCCCCTGTGACTCTTCTTGTAAAAGTGGCTGTTGACAAAACACTAAAAACTGGTGGCTTAAAATGACAGAAATCTGTTGCCTCTCAGTTCTGGAGCCATAAATTTGAATCTAGGTTTGGGCAGGCCCTGCTCCTTCCAAAGGCTCCAGAGGAGAAGCCCTGTGTGCCTGTTGCTACTTTCAGTGGTTGTTACAGCCTTTGCTGTGCATCCCATGGTGGTAGCAGCATGGATTTTGTCTCTGCCCCTGTCTCTCATGGTTATCACACTGAGTGTTGCACCTCAGAAATGTCCCTAATTTTACAAAGACTCCAGTCATTGGCTATTTTTTTTTTTCCCGGTACCGGGAATTGAACTCACAACCTTGCGCTTGCCAGGCAAGCACTGTGCCACGGAGCTAAATCCCCAGCCCCGTCATTGGCTATTGTGGCTTTCCTCATGATAGCCCGTCCTATATCTTCCAGGATGTACTTTTATCTGGTTTTTCCTCTTTTACTGAGCCCAAGCTAGCTCTGCAGAGCCAGCTCATATCACTCTTCACTTCTACTTTTTCAAACAAACTTTGCTATACATACATACATACATACATACGTAGGCTGCAGTCATTAGATTGGGCCCGACCCTAATCATCATGACCTCATCGTGACTTGATGGAATCTGTTAAATGAATCCAAATTTGGCCGGAAGTTGCCTCTGTACCTGAGGCTGCCTGCCAACTTGCAGTTTCTATGTGATTTGTAAACAACTGTAAAGCTGGATTTAGGAATATGTTTGTATAATAACCAGCTGAGTCTCAGCCAATCAGAGCAGCTGCCTGATCATACCAGGCCCAGATTTGGTGAGGGCTGAGCCGTAGCCACCAATCCAGATACTTCTGTTTTATGCTCGCTTTGTTAGCACATATACAGATGCTTCTGTTTTCTGTCTATAAATTCTACCTGCACAGTGGGGCTGTCAGCCTCTTCCAGTCCAGAGGCTGCCAAATCTGCAAATCATTCTTTGCTCAATTAAACCGTTACATTTTTAAAATTTTATTTTATTTTATTTTTTGCCTTTTTGAGACACGGTTTCACTATCCAGTTCAGGCTGGCCTTAAACTCACTTTGTAGCCCACGCTGGCCTTGAACACACAGCAATCCTTCTGCCTCAGCCTCCCGAGTGCTGGAATTACAGGTGTGTGCTACCATGCCTGGCTCTAAACTGTTACATTTTAATTGCCAAAGGTTTTAATTTTTTAAACATATCTGCTAAAACCCTTTTCCAAATAAGGTCGTTTTCATAGTAATGGGGATGAGGACTTGAACCTATCTTTTCCTGGGACACAATTTGCATCACAGCTGTTACGTAACAGTATAGTTGGCCACATGCTTATTTTATGTGGTCTGAAGATTTTTTTTTGCATATTATTAGTTACATGGCTTAAACCTGTAAAAACAAAAGATGTGGGTTTTTAATTAGAGCTGGTGTGGGCTGGGCGTGGTGGTGCATGCCTGTAATCCCAGCACTCGGGAGGCTGAGGCAGGAGGATTGTTTCGAGTTCAAGACCAGCCTGGGCTACAAAGTAAGCTCAAGGCCAGCCTGAACTGCATAGTGAGACCCTGTTTCAAAAAGACCAAAAAAAAAAAAAAAAAAAAAAAATTAGAACTGGTGCTTGATAGGGAGGCTCTCACCTTCAGCCTGATCAATTTTCTTACAAAATCTGGAGGAAATGCCTGCTACCTCATGCTAAAATGTGACCACACCCTTCTGCGTAAGTAAAACTTGCTTTGTTGAGATTTTCTGATATCTGAGTGCTTTATTATCTACACCAACATACTGAGTCTGGGGACGAATTCCCAACAATTCAGCACCCAATATGGGGCCACAGCCTATTAGGGCGGGTCCTCTCACCGGAGGTGACACCTCCCACAGCCTCATGAAGTGGCTCTGGCATGAGCACCTGCATCATGAGCTGAGAACCCAGTCACGACTTCTTGACCACAGAAAAAGGGTAACCAGGCAACTCTGCATGGACCACAGTCATCAGCCCTATAATTCACTCTTCGAGTACAAAAGAGCAGAACAGCTAAACTCAAGAAGATATTCCTGAAAGTAGTGCAAATGTGAAAAGAAGTTGAGTACTTGAGTAATTGACTTTGTAAGATCCAAGAGATGAGAGTCTGCTTTTTTATGGTGTATTTATCACCTCAGGCAGTGCTTTGCAGGCACAGGTACACCAAAGAAAGAGAATCTGTGCCTGGTGCTTTCTAGTTTGGAAGATATTTCTGAAGATGGGAACCTTGACTGAATTAGTGGTGTGTGACGCTATTATAGTCCGCCCACAGGATGGCCTCTGCTCTCAGAATTATTTTGTCAAGTTATCTTCTGTTCTCTTTAAGACTCTAAAGTCTCAGTCCGCTTCCCACATTAGTTTCTTCCAGATCATTTCCTTGTTGATCAGCTATGCGGGGTACAGGGAAGCCTAAGATACCTTCATAGAATTGAAAGCTGTCCTTAGTGTGGTTGATGTTTATCATTTGTTTCGTTCACAACTGAGTTAAAGACTGCTCCTTTCACCACCAAAGTGGCATCTTAATATTCACCATTAGGTGGCTCCCTTATTTATTTGAGTGAAGTCTACCACTATCATTTGCATTTCTTTTCACAACTGTTGTAGATTCTAAACAGCTTGAGAGAAGACAAAATAAAGAGGAGTCACACTATAGTGACACACATTGCAGAAAAGACTCAACTCATGACACAATGATAGAGTGCTGTTTGGCTGAGAAAAAAGTACAGCATTGAAAATAGGTGAAAGTGCACTGTAATGAGGAATGTATGTAATAAAATACGAACAGAATTATAAAAATTGGCGTCTTATGGAGTTCAGGATGAGTGGGCTGTAGATGAATATTTTATTTGGATTTAGAAGTGGGAGCAGTATGATTACCAAGGGTCAAGATATTTTTTGGCGGTTCTTTCTCATCAAATTTGCAGTGAAGATGTTACTTCAAAAAAAAAAAAAAGTCAGTGATCAGTGAGATTACAAAGCCTGCTGAAGGTGATGTGCATAGGAGGCAGAATTAAGATTCAGCCCCAGTCCTGTGCAGTCCCTCAGGGCATGCTTTCTCCAGTAGCCTGAACTGCTTCTCTTTTATGAGGAACCAGAAACAAAACTATCTTAGGACACATTCGATCTAAGCTTGCTGCTACATTGTGAGTGTTTAGTAAATGTTGAATTCTAGTTTTTGTGTCCTGGTACTGTGTTATCACAAAATTAGAATTTTCTAGAGAAAGAGAAATAACCAAAGAAGCATTGGTGGGAATCACTGCCCACTGTTGGTCTGCATATCTCGTGTTTCTCACAATGTATGGAGTATGTAGAGCAACACTTCTCAAAGTTTAAAAAACATAAAAGCCCCTTCAGGATTTCCTTAACAAGAATACACTCAACTTGGGGGCTGGGGATTTAGCTCAGTGGCACAGCGCTTGCCTGGCAAGCGCGATGTCATGAGTTTGATTCCCGGTACCGGAAAAAAATAAAAATAAAAAAAAAATTAAAAAAAAAAGAATACACTCAAGTTGGTCCAGTCAGGATCCCAGATACTCAATTCTATCAAGACTCAGATGATGCTGCTATTGCTGGTGCACGAACCACTCTTTGAATGCAACATGAGTTACCTGGTATATATATTGAAAATTCAATACTATGTGATAGTGAATCAGAATACTTGAACATGAAGCTTGGAACTCTAAATGTTTTAGATAATCTGCAGCTTCTTTTGTACAATAAATCTTAAAAATTATTTCTGTAAAAAAAAAGTCTGGAGGAATTCACAGCCATTGGTAAGTATGGGCTAGCCGAATTGATATTTGAAGAGTATATTATCTTGCAAATAGATTGATTTTATCTTTGTCCTCAGGAAGTAGAAATTTTAAAAACTGAACTTGAAGCATCTCAAAGACAACTTGAAGGGAAAGAAGCAGCACTGAAAATTCTTCAAAGCATGGTAAGAAGTTGTTATCTCTTACACATTCCAATAATTGGTATTTTTTTTCAGCATTTTATTTTATTTTTTGAGACAGGGTCTCACTATGTAGTCCAGGGTAGCCTTGAATTCACAGGACCCTCCTGTCGCAGCCTTCCAAGAACTTATTTTTTAGCTTTAAAAAAATTAATTACTTCTTTTTTTTTTTTTTTTTTGGTCTTTTTGAGACAGGGTCTCACTATGCAGTTCAGGCTGGCCTGGAGTTCACTTTGTAGCCCAGGCTAGTCTTGAACTCACAGTGATCCTCCTGCCTCAGCCTGCTGAGTGCTGGGATTACAGGCATGCAACACCACGCCCGGCTACTTTATTTTGAGACAGAGTCTCACCCTGTAGCTCAGGGTGGCCTTGGAGTCACTAAGTTGCCCAGGTTGGACTCAAACTCACGATCTCCCTGCCTCAGCCTTCAAGTGCTGGGAGTATAGGTATGCACCTCAATAGGTAGCTTATTTTCAACTTTTAAAACAAGAGCAGCAATGCTTAATACAATTGAGGGTTTTTTTCTTTAGGCTATATTTGTAACAGCTTTATAATTTATATATTACAAATTTCATTTAAGTGCCCAGTACAATTTGTTTTTAGTAAATTTTGAGTTGTCCACCTATCACGCCGGCTGAACCTTAGAATACTTCCATCATCCCGACAGAGGGACCCAGGTGACTGCTGGTCTTTCTGTCTGATAGATGTGTCTTTTCTGCCATTTCTGTTTCATACAAATAGAATGGTGTGATTCTTCTGCATGTGGATTCTTTTAGCTAGCATGCTTTTGAGGTCCACACATGATATGACATGTTATCCATGTGTTTCTTCCTTTTTGTTGCCAGGTAATATTCCACTGTATAGTTGTACCAGTTCTGTTTACCCAGGTGCCACTTGATGAACATTTCGGTTGTTTCTTCTTTGTGACTGTAACAAATAATTCTGTTGGGTACATTTTCTTTGTGTGAAAAACTCATTCTTTCATTCTCACTTCCAATGGAAAAGAGCCAAACCAAGATCTTCTGACTTCTGAGCTATCAGACTCTGCAAAAGGTTGTCCATGTGAAATTCTCAAATTAATTTTCTGTTATCTTAAAGTGAAAAAGTGAAGCTCACTGTGGATACAGGCACGATTAGAAATGTGATCCACACTGCTGCTGTTTTTCTTTCTCCTAGGCAGTACTTGGCAAAGCCACAAGTCACACGCAGGCGGTGCTTCAGAAAACTGTGGAGCAAAAGAGATTGTTGGAGAAGGTATTTAGCAGCCTTACATAGTCTTGTTGAGGCCAGTAAGACCTAAGCAGCCTTTCACCGAGCTCGCCACACTGGTGGACGTGTCACCGTGCAGGAGGCTTCCTCTGTCCGCGCTGGTCTCCCTCTGGGAGCGGTGAGGACGATTGTCACGTGGGCAGCACGTTATTTTCCTTCATTTCCGCCATAGGAGGCCTACTGAAATCGTACTTCCTGTTGTCCTTTTGTTTTCCTGCCTCTGCTTCTGGCAGGGTCTGCATCCCCTGACTGTCCCTCCATGGCGAGGAGGTCACAGCCACCCTAGGTGGAGCTGAGACTTGCAGGAGTGACTGCTTCCGGTGTGCGCCTGGGGCAGGGATGGGCTGGCTTCATTGCAGCAGATTTTGAATTTGAACAGTTTGCAAATTTTTTATATTAAGTGAGCTTTGGCAAAAGGTTCTTTGAGTGCTAAAAAGGCACGTCACGTGTGGACAGATGTCATAGACTCTTTCTGAGTGATCTTTTTTTTCTCTAAGTCTCTTTTGTGAAATGATTATGATTTACTTTACCTGCTTACGGTGCCCTGAAATAATTGATTTGTAGTGATTTTCCATGAAGGTGTGATTTTCTTTCCATAGGAAATAAATGCCTTGCAGTGGGAAATCGAATTTGATCAGAATAGATTTAAAAACATAGAGGAATCTTGGACTCAGAAATATGACAGGTTTGTATATTGCTCTTATTTTATTTCTTTATTTTGTGGTAGGCAAGCATTCTCCCACTCTCCCTGCTCAGGTTTGTGTGTTATTCTTTCATAAAATTTCCTTGAAAATCTTTAAAAATGCAGGTAATCCAGATGTAGTTTAGGCATCCAGCTTGGAGTTAAGTGTAAACATTATAAAATTCTTCCTGCTTATCTACTAGTTCCATATTTTTGTAATTTTTAAAAAAATATTTGTTTTTAAATACAACGTAAGAGAAATGTTTTCCACATGCTTTTAGCACTGAAACTGGTGTTTGTTTGTTTGTTTGTTTTTGAGACAGAGTCTGGCTGTGTAGTTTAGGCTGGTTTGGACTCACTATGTGACCCAGGCTGTCCTGGAACTTGCGGCGATCCTCCTGCCTCAGCCTCCTGAATGCTGGGATTATAGGCGTGTCACCAAACCATGGCTGTTTCTATTCTTAGAAAGGACATTCTCACTGAGAAACATAATAGTATTATCAAAATCAAGTCGTTAACACTGACACAATTCTATGATTTGATCTAAGGCCATATTCAGATTCTACCAGTTATTCTAATAGCATGAAATTTGTCCTTTCAACAAAAGGGGAAAAAGAAACTGCCCCTTTCATGCTCCAGCCCAGTCTCCCAGACGCATTTGGCCGTCCTCTGCACTTTCCATCGTTTAGTCTGGTGCAGCTCCTTCGTCCGTATCTTTCTGCGCTGGCATCTCCAGCGTCAGGCAGCTTGCAATGCTGTTTAGGGCAGGGCACCTGGCAGGAGGCCTGTGGTGTGTGTTTGTCCCTCCACTAGGACTTAATCTTGGTCACTGCAGACAGTGTGGTATCTGCCATGTGTCCCCACCTTAAAGTCGCCGTTTTTCCTCCTCTTTGTAACTAATAACTGTTTTGTGGAGATGGTGTTTTGTGATTTCGTAAACACACTGTCCTCCGTGAACTCTTCCCCCATGGTTTCCACCTCCGCAGACCGGCAGGTAGGGAAGAGCACTGTGCTCCTGCCTGTGGGGACTTCCCAGTCCACAGGCCCTGGGCTCAAGAAGGAAGAGAGACTGAATTCTCTGTGCAAGTCCCAGGCCTGAAGTCTCAGGAAAGTGATTTTACATTTTATTCATTGTTAAAGTAATCAGTAGACTAGGAATACCTTTGATTTACAATTCACTTTGAATCAACAAGCTTTAATCTCAGAACTATCATTTTAATGCTCTGAGGTTCTTCCTTAGAGCATAAAAAATCATCATAATACATCTTGACAGATTTATTTTATATTGGTACCGAGAATCAGACTCACAATATCCCACTTGCTAGGCAGGCGCTGTGCCACTGAGCTACATCTCCAGCCCTTGATAGATTTATTTATTTTTGTTTTTTTGAGGTAGGGTCTCACTATGTTCAGGCCTTGAACTCACAAGGTAGCCCAGGCTGATCTCGAACTCATGACAATCTCCTGCCTCAGCCTCCCTCCCAGGTGCTAGGATAACAAGCAGGTACCACCATGCCCGTCTCATCATATATTCTAGATATTAGTTGTTTGCCCAAGGAATAGCTGGCAATAATTTTTCCATTCTGTAGCTTGTCCCTTTTTTCTGTTGGTTGTTTCCTTTGCTGTGCAGAAGCCTATTAATTTTATATAATCCCATTTGTTGATTCTTGATTTTATTTTTTATTTGTTTTGGTTCCTTTTGAGACAGGGTCTGTGTAGTCCAGGCTGGCCTTGAACTCTGTATGTTGCCCAGCTGGTTTAGAACTTCTGGTGATCCTCCTGCCTCATCCTCCTGAGTGCTGGGATTATAGGCATGTGACACCACACCCATGTGGTTTTTTTTTGTCTTTTTGAGACAGGGTCTCACTATGCAGTTCAGACTGGCCTTGGGCTCACTTTGTAGCCCAGGCTGATCTCAACTCACAACAATCCTCTTGCCTTAGCCTCCCGAGTGCTGGGATTATAGTGTGCCACCACGCCCGGCTCACACCCAAGTTAAATGATTATCAATTTGAATTAAAACTTTTGTTTTGCATTTTGTAGTGAAAACTTTATTAAGCGAATCAATATGCAAAATAGTTGCCTTAGAAATATTTGTTCCCAATTATTTCTCAACTAAGCATACAGAAGGGTTAAGAGTTCTGTTTAAAATCTTACACATTCTTTTAAATTGTTTTGATTTTGTGACACGTACATTCTAGACTTGTTTTAAGTAAGAAAAATTATATTTGGGTTTCGTGTTCTAATAGTGGAAATAAGAGCATTCTCCCTCAGGGAGGAAGTGTTGGTGTTGTCGTTATTTGGAAGGTGCTTTTTTCCAGACTACACTGTGAAAATGCAGTTCTCAAAGAGAATCTGAGACTGAAAACAGAAGAAATTAGGATGCTGAAGTCTGAAAATGGAGGTGAGGGATGGTATTTGTATGATTGTTTTTAAATGTTAAAGATGAGTTTTATGGGTATCATGTAGTAAGAATACCTGTAATGGAGACAAAATCACTATTTTCTGTTTTTTTTTTTGTTGTTGTTGGTCTCTTTGAGACAGGGTCTCGCTGTGTAGTTCAGGCTGGCCTTGAGCTCACTTTGTAGCCCAGGCTGGGCTAGTTTTTTGTACATTTTGTTTGTTTTTGTTTTGGTGGTGCTGGGATTGAACCAAGAACCTTCACACTGATCTATATCCCTACTCCTTTTAATAATTTTTTTTAAGCATTGAGACAGGGTCTTAGTAAGTCACTAAGTTGCCCAGGTTGGGCTTGAACTCATAACCTTCCTGGCTCAGCCTCCTACAATATGTGATTGCATAGACAAGCACCACTACACTTGACTGCATTTAGGTTTTTCAGTTTAAAGAATTTATCAAAGTGAAATCCATACAACATAAAATTAACATTTAAAAGTGACAATTTGGTGGTCAAGAGGCTGAGGCAGGAGGATCACAGTGAGAGACCCTGTCTCAAAACAAAACAGAAAAGCATACAGTTCTGTGACATTGAAACCTAGTCCAGCCCCAACTTCCGAGGCATTTCTATCACCCGAAGTAAAAGTTTGTGTGCATTATTCAGCTGCTCCCCACTCCCCCTTCTCACTTGGTTTCCATGTAAAGCAGAATGGTGGAGCGGATAGAATTTCTGTACGTGTATGTACCTCACTCATACCTGTGTGTATGTATATGCGTGAATACATATGTACATATACATAGAATTTCTATATGAAATATCCCATATATAATGAACAATTTCATGATGAAAGTTGATAGAAGTTTGTTAAGGTGTTTGCTAGTAACATTTTACCAAAAAAATTTTTTTTCTGAGATAAGGCATTGCTGTATAGCTCCGGCTAGCCATGATGTCACTATGTAGCCTAGGTTGGCCTTGAACTTGAGGCAATCCCCTTCTGCCTCAGCCTCCTGAGTGCTGGGATTAGAGGCATGCGCCACTCTATTTTTACAAATTTTAAAGAGAAGATGCTGATTTTTCCTCTCTCACAGAAGCCACGTGGTGGCTTGCAGGCGACAAAACAAGCTCGGGGTTGGGCCTGGGCTGAGGTCCTTTGTGCGTGCAGATGAGATCAATCTGCAGGCGCAGAGCATCACCTTGGAGGTCAGGTGAGGGCGCAGTCTGCACTCTTCCCGCACTCTAACCTGGAATGAGAGGAAGAAGCTGGACTTTGCTCCCCAACCTGTAGCAGAGCCTCTGTGTGTGGCTGAGAAGCTCGCCCTTCCCGCGAGGCCGGTGGGGCCAGGCCAGCTACTGCAGTGGCTGAGCACGCCCCGCGCCCTGCCCAGCCCTCCCTGTGCTGAGTCCCTGGTCCCCTTGTGAAACTGTACAAGGAAACAAAGAGCAAACGAGGAGCAGACTGGGACGCACAGCTGACATGCTGCCCCAGTGAAAAGGACACGTGGCCGGTGTTCTCATGTACAGACAGGCCCATAACTAGTCATGACAGGCCCATGTCTGTCATCCAAGCACTCTGGGAAGCTGAGGCAGGCGGATGGCAGCTTTGAGCACAACCTGGGCAATTGAGCAACTTAGCAAGACCATGTCTCAAAATTAAAAAAAAAAGAAAAAAAAAGGCTGGGGACAACATAGCAGAGCCGATGGCCTGGGTCCTCTAGGGTCACATACTGCGCCCTCCCGTGACGCCCACAACACCCACTGCTGTGTTGCTAACTTTTCGTGCGCAGCCTGACCTCATGGGTGGAGACTGTGATGCCTTCGCTGCTTGGAAGAAATGAGAACTTGACACGGGTGGAACTGGATGCGCGGAGCCGCAGTTAGGCTCAGACCTAATAACCCTTTCGGGCCTGGCCCGTCCTAGCTTTGAACCAGCAGTACTTGGAAGTGCTTGCCATGCTGGACGTCACACAGCAGAAGGAGGCTCAGGACAGCAGGTCTCGGGAGGATCACGGCTGCGCGGAGGTGTCCGGGCTGGAGGTAGTGCGTGCTTGCCAAAGCTGTGCGCAAGGGAGGCTGCTTCTGTTCGGTGTTTTCGGCAGTTCTGGAGGCTGAACTCAGGGCCTTTGCACTGAACTACGTCCTCAGCCCTATTGTAGTTTTTGTTCGCTTTAAAATGAATATATGCCTGCAATACATAATGAATACATTCATGGGGAGGGGGTCACATATATATAACGTAGCTTAATCTTTGGCTTGCCTTTCTCTCCCTTCCCTCCCCTCCATCCACCTCTAGCCTATTTTATTTTATTTTATTTAAAAATAAAAGGAGGAAAACATTAACAGACAGACAACCTTTTACAAAGTACTAAAAACAGTACAGACAATACAGAGTTACAAACAAAGTGGTAGGAAATTAACAATGCTTGTTGTATTACATATTGATATCTTCAGAGTGGTTTCTCATCTAGCCTATTTTATTTGGAGACTGTTTCTTGCTAAGTTACCCAAGCTAGGTCTAAACTTGGGATCCTCCTGCTTCAGCCTTCCCGAGTTGTAGGATTATGAGCATGCACCATCACACTGGGCTGGGACAGTTCCCTTTCCCGTGCTTGGCACCTGTTCTGGGCTCGCACCATACTTAGCAATTTGAGACGGGTAAGAGAGGCCCCCGTTGCCCAGGTTGGCTCATCCTGCCCAGGCGTGACATTCAATGGCAGGCAGTGGGCTGGCTGCTTGGACCCATTCATTTCTCTTACAACTGTGGCAGAAGTACAGAGCTGCGTCTCGCCCGGGGCAGGGTGTACAGTTGCTGAGGCCTGCCACACGGGGCTATTCTCACCTTCGCAGCCCTGAGGGCCACAGGTGGGTGTTGGCAGATGAAGGCTGGGAGATGCTGTGTGAGTTCCGTTACTTTCCCACAGTGCTGGGCAGCCCAGACTGGCCAGGTTCGGAGCAGAGATCTGCCCTGGCTGCCTGCGGCTTCTACCTGCGGGGTCACCCAGTCCCATGCAGAAGGGCTGGGCTGTGAGATATAAGTACAGCCTCTCTCTTACTGTAGAGCCTCAAAAGAAGCAAATGTTACTAGGTATGGCCATGCATGCCTGTAATCCCAGCACTCAGGAAGCTGAGGCAGGAGGATTGCTGTGAGTTCACTGCCAGCCTGGGCTACATAAGCAAGTTCAGGACCACCCTGCACTATATAGCGAGATCTTGTTTCAAACAACAACAACAACAAGCAACTGTTAATAATAAGCTGCCCCCAAATAAGGAATACAGGAGGGCTGGGGCTGTCATTGAGTGCAGAGGCCTGGGCTGAGGCTCCAGTAAGGAGGAGAGAAGCCAAAGTGAGCGCTGAGAAAACAGTGTTGTGGTCACCCCGAGCGGGCTGCCTGGCTTTGCTCTCGGGGGTCTTTGGGCCGCAGGCCCGGGTGGTCATGTGCGTGGGGGTGTGGCTGGGTCTGTGCGCACTTGGGGTGCAGCTAACCCTTCTGGCTTTGCAGCTCGCAGTGCTTGGAGCCTGCTCCTGCCGCAGTCCCCGAGGGAGTCCCTGTCCCTGCGCCAGGACGGCGGCATCTGCTCGGAAACTGGTTCTTCAGCTCAGACGCGAGGTAGCACGTCGTCACCGCCTCAGATGCTTTGAGTGTCCTTCTGTTCGTGGTGGAACACACCGAGGCACCTGTAGTGACTACTGTAGTGGGCACTGGCTGGGGCTTACACTTAGCTTACTGTGAGCATTAGCCGGGTGAAGTCATTCACCTAAGCCTCTAGTTACTATTCCTTAAATTCATATTTTCCTCAACTGTATATGACCTTAAAATTACAGCAGAAGAGCTTGACACGGTGGGCACACCTGTAAACTCAGTAGTCGAGAGGCTGAGGCAGGAGGATTGCTGTGAGTTTGAGGCCAGCCTGGACTATATAATGAGATCCTGTCGCAAAAAAAAAAAAAAAAAAAAAAAAAGGCAGTAGAAGAGAAAGATGCATTTATGCTTAAGGTCATTAGGACCAACGTGACTGATGGGGAGTTAAGCATGGAGCTTATGTGAGAAGCCGCAGACACAGCAGAAGGAATCTTTACCTCCCAGACTAGCTGTGCAATTTAGCTCGACGCAGATGTGCCTCAGTCTGCACACCAGCCGTGCGGCTTCGGGCAGCGTGAGTCCTAGTTCCCCGTGTGTGAAACGTCTTGGAGGGCCATTGTCAGAATGGAGGAAACAAACATAATGTTCATCACGGTGCCAGGAAAAGCCAGGCGTTAGTCACTGGCACCTGCTGTCACACCGGGCTTCATTACAGATACAGCACTGCACACAGCCCATGATCCCTTCCAGACACACTCTACCTCTCTGGGAGGTGTCGAAGCCTGTAGGAGACATAGCAAGGCAAATAGCTAGGCACAACAGCTCATGAAGAAAAGGATAAGGTCAGTCACACAGGTCAGAGTCTTGGGTGAAGCT